ACACAAACCACGCCGACTAAATGTAACACCGTGGGGTAATTTGAGTTTAAACAGAGCAGGATGCGCTCTGGAGAGGGATCGCAGCGTGGTGTGCGGGGAACCACGTGGTTTATGTTTGTTAGCTTCAAAATACATCTTTTTCGTGTCTAAATGTGAAAAAGAAAACATTGAAGAGGTTGTTAAGATCTGAACCAGACCACCCCTCTGCTCGGACACAATTTATTTATTGTGTTTGTGGATTATTAATGCCCCCAGCTGCCCGTGAGTGAGTCGTGTACACAATAACAGATCAGATGAAGCATGTTGCCTCACCGCCGTCGCTAAGTGCGTCTGCTGCAAACACATGCCTTTTAATAATACAAATAATACACACACAACGTAGGGGGGTGGGGGGTGAAACGCAGGTATACATACCTACAAAGACCTCCAATCACTTCTTTCTCCGTTTTCCTGAAATGTTGCAAAGAGGGCACCTTCTGAGCTGGTACCATGAAATACTCCATGCTCGCCTTTCGCCAGTTTGGTCCCCCCCTCCCAGCCTCCAAAAAAAAAAAAATGGAAAAAAAACCCAGCAAACAGTGTCCGTAAATCAGAGAAATATAATGATGTTGTAGAGCACAAATCCCGTATCAGACGCAGGATAAATCCTCAAACAAGATGTGGATCTCTCGTCCTTGTGATGTAGTAGTTTCGGGCTGCTGAGAGTTGTAATGTTACTCGACTTCCAGCTGATGGGGTTCCCTCGTTGTGTGTGGCGCTCTACCTCTCTCTCTCTTTCTCTCTCCCTTCCTCCCCTTTGCTTTCTCTCTGCATGACCGTGTGTGTGTGTGTGTGAGTGTGTGTGTGTGTGTGTGCGCAGCTGATCGGATGGCTTTCAAGGCGGGAAACAGCTGGTAGGAGTCACACTGCACTACCAAAAAGCCTCCTTCCGCAGAGACGAGGGACTGCATGTAAACAAAGGACTATTTAGCGCAGATACACATATACCCCTCTATCGACAGCAGTCTGTCGATAGAGGGACTCATCTGGCTTAAATAACAATAGAAGAACAACACTAAAAGCTGATTGGTAATTAGATATACAGAATGTGCTCAAGCTCTAATCTTAAAGTCAAAGCAAGTCAATAAAAACATGCCCCTTTTCTTTAATCCTGCTTCATTGAAAGAAATTATACATCTATGAAAAGCCATTTTTAATTTGTACCTATTAACTTTAATGTGAACAGGTAATTGTAACCACATTGCCGGGAAACATTTTTCATAGAAATGACCTAAATGTAAAAATGCACCTAGACAGCTGATAGTGACTAAAGAGCGGGACTGCTGTAGGGGCGGATACACCGACAGCTGCGATAAGAGAACAAGAGAGGGATCAGCTGACGGCTTGGCGGAGCTGCACAGCAACAGCGCACCGGGGAGGGCTTCTGGGGACAGACTGCCGCCTGGATGACACTACACGGTCTGCCGCGTGTTTTTGTTTTTTTTCTTCTCCTCAACATTTAGGGTGCAGCAGTGGTTGTAAGGGAGATTAAAGAAGCCTACAGTAAACCCAATTAGAGGCTGCGACGCGCGTGCAGCGAAAACCAGACACAAAAAAAACACACAGGCAGTGATTTGGCTTTGCAACCGGAAATGTGAAGAGCTGCAAGAATAGCTATGAGTAGGGAGGCAAACCCAAACGCTACAAACATTTGTCAAACATTAACACATCAACTAAACAACAAAACACGCTGGTGAGTGATTTCAACACGGATCTTTTCGGGACACTTACATTTTATTTAGTCTAATAAGGAAACAAAATCAAAGAATAAAACATCAAATAAAACAATATATTTGTTTTATTATTTAAATCAAATGATATTTTCTGCAATAAACAACCCGTAGCCGGTTTTTAGAGTCCTTCGTGTAGCCTATTAAATGCCATAACCTTCTTATGCATGGAGGTTTGCACAGTTTGATGTAGGCATACGATTATTTTCTTTATGGTGGGTTCGGGGTGTGGGGTCAGTGGTGGTTCTAGACCACTTTTACTGAGGGGGTCAAACTGGGGCCAGTTGTTTTGTCAGAGGGGAACATTAAACCCAGGTGAAAAATAGACAAAGATGATCGCTTGTAAAAAAAATAAATATATATATTATGCCAAATAATAGCACACATCATTAAATACCATGATTTATATTTGTTTCAGTATTTAATACTAGATTGTCCAGTTGTCGAGTCAAATACTGTGTATGTGTTTTTAGGGGGGCTCTTCCTTTAGGAGGGGTGGCCACAGGGGGGACCAAGCTCAGTGTTACAGGGGCACTGGCCCCTGTTGGCCCCTGCCTAGAACCACCCATGCGTGGGGTTAAACACTGAACTGCATTTGTATGACATGGTGCCATAAAAAAATATGACTGATGATGTCATACCTTTCTGTCACAAACAAGAACATTTAACAACTTTGGATTACACTTCCTCTAATCAAAACATCAAAACAAAGACTTTTACCTCAAGATGATCAACTTGGTTGAAAAAATTCTGAAGGCCACTGTGAACATGTTGGTTATTACAACACGTTATTGTCATGTCTTTTACTTCTTGTTACACAGACCTAAACTATTTTAGACTTGATTCCTAGAAAGACAGAAAAAGCAGATAAGGTCAAACCGACCACACAAAATGATCAGACAGCCTATACAGCCAAGGCCAGAGATGCAAAATCCTTACGTATGCTAGATGATTCTTTCAAAAGGCCTTCATGTGTTAGATTTATGGAGCACGCTCTGTAACCGAACAGGTCCCATGTCAACATATTTATGGACTTCTATATTCTTTGTTTTAAGCACACTGGGGGTTATGGACTTATAGCTTTTCAGTTATGTAAACAAAAGGCTTGGTAAACCAGCATTTAGTAGACTTATGACTACAATCTCGGAGGGCTCTTATAGCCGACATGTTTTCACAGTCTATTTCACGCCCTCTAGTGGTCGCATTGGTAATAGGTGAAGAGACTCCTGAGAATGACAGAAACATCACACAATGAAACACAACATCCTTGAAACTAATACGCCATCAATTTAGTCGAACTAGATGCTTTCACAGAATTAAAAGTGGCGTTGCTATGTTGTCAGGACTGTGTTAACCAGATTTCTTTATAGGTTATATAGCCTATGTATTTCCACGTGAGATAAGAGATTATTTTTTATTAAAGCAGATTGACATTTGTACATAAAGAACTAGACGGTAGCTTTGAAATTAAATCAACATCCCTAAAAAATAAAGTGTTAATAATTCACCAACATATAGCGGGCTATTTACATTTTTGTCTGATTTTATTTTTAGACTTTCCACAATATAGAGCCTGGAGGAATACAAGTTACATGATGACATTTTAATGTAAATTAATTTGTATTGATATAATCATATTTAAAAACTTATCATAGCTATATCATAAATGTTTCCATGTAAAAAGAAAATTCTGTCCTATATATCACATTGGCCCTCTCCTGCATTTTCCAAACGCATCCTTGTGTCTTGATTTTCAAATAGGGAAGGAAAAACCATGAAACTCAAAGTGAACCCTTCTGTGACATGAGAGAGATGATGATGAAATAATAACAAGGCTGGAGAAACATTCATTTAATTAATTATATTCCACCAGATATTTTAGAAAGGCAAACATGTCTTTAAAGTGAACAATATATTGGTGCTGTGCTGTGTTTTTCTTAAAGTAGCCTATCTTTACCATGACAACAATAGAAGTTCATCCCACCTGTTGCATATCCATCTCATCCCGCTAAGGAATGCACAAAATAGTTTTTTAATAAAACCAACTGTTTTTTTTCTGAATTTCCTAGAAGTAAGCAGAAGTGTGTTTTTAAAATATAAGATACTGAAAGTAAAAATGTCTCATACCAATTCCCAAAGATGACATCATAAATATATTTTTAGTATGAATGACTAATGATGGAATGAACGGGTCTAAATCCACACACAACACTACATCCTGATGACTCGTCCTGTCAAATTTTAATGTAGTTGGAGACAATATTGATTTTAACTTTGTTATCATTGATTTGATTATTGGTTAATTGAGTAATGGTTTAAAGTGTACTTGTTTGGGTATGTTAAATCACTGCATGCACTTTTTTATATTTAAAAGAAAAATATTGCACTCTTTTTCCTTTTCTGACTTTAGTGCACTTAAGCTACATGCCTATAATCTGTTTATAAAATAGATTAACGTGTTGTGTCTAAACTTCTCTGAAGTGTTATGAATTAAAAACAGCAAAACTTGGACCAGCAACATTAATGCTTTCATTTTTACATCAAAATAACATGTTTTTGTCTTTAAAATAATTGCATTATTAGCCTACAGTATGTTTTTTTTCTTATCAAGCGATAAGGAATACCTTTTTGGACAACCTAAGGTTCCTGCACACAAAGACCAGGGTCATTCCCCTTGACCTGAAATGGCAACATGGGTAAACTGTAGGCAAAACTCTAAAAAAGAAAAAATGCAAATGAGGACAAAATGTAGTTATCTCTGATTTTGTGATTTCTGTCTTAAACAACATTTTTGTTTTTATTACTCCTCCTTGTGCTTTTTGTGGTTAGATGTTGCAGGTGTTTTAATTATAGCCTAAGGATTTATGATGGAGGTAGTTTAAGCCTTTTCATATTTCTAAAGCACACAACTCTGTATAGCCTACAACTTTTTGACAGCTGAACCAGAAACATGGGTTGAGACAGCATGAGAACAGAGAGGTCGACAGATATCCGGGCAATTCAAACAGGATTACAAACAGTAGAGATTTGAACCTTTTTGAAGGTCTGTTGATGGAGGTGATCAGAGCAGAGGCAGGGAGAGATGGCCATGAGGATAGAGAGAGAGAGAGAGGGAGGGAGGGGGAGAGACAGAGAGAGAGGGGAGAGTTTGGAGAAGAGCCGGGGACTGCCCATGGTGGAGGGGCGGAGCAGTAAGCATGCGCTGAGCTGGCAGACTCTGAGCTGGTCCTGACGGGCTGGCTGGGCTCCTGGTGGCTGTCTGAGCGCTTCAGACGGTGGTGGGGGAGACGACCATCAACAATCAGCGTGTCCTCGAGTGCTCAGAGGAAATCAAAACAAACAGAATAACTGCAGAAAAGAAACGCAAACTGCCCCTCCTCGGCATCTGGAAAAAGCACCGAAGAAGAAGGAGACGAACCTCCCCTTCAACCCCACACCCCATCGCCAACCCGCCCAATCTTACCCGACCCACCAGTTCGTGCCATCCCTCTGGTCTGGACCGCCCTCCTACCCTGCCAGGAGAACCACGACCACCCATAGGAAACCCCCACTTGACCAGCGTTGCCATTAAGCGATGCGCTCTGAATCTGGAGAAACCACCTTTGCGTTTTTGATGCACTACACAATCTGTGGTCTTCGTTTTTCTTCAGCGGGAACACTTGAGGCTACGGATCTGAGTGTTTATACTTTTTGACGGGTTTCCAGAGCCATGATAACAAGCAGAATATATCTTCACACGGCAACAGACTCGGCTGTCACTCCTTAGATTAGTCTTTTTTTTTTTTTTTAAACAACCAGCTGTCACATACGCTGTGTTTGAGCTTCTGTGTGATTTTCCATGCTTAGAAATATTCCTGACAATGGTCTGGGAACGGACCGCCTCTTTAGACACCTAGAAATATTTTTTCAAGAAGCTTCAGCCCTGTGTTTTGTTTTTGTCAAAGAAAAAGCTACACATTGACGAGGAGTCATTGGACACAGACTCCGCTTGAGCCGTATAGGACTTTGCGTGCGAAGTTTGCACCGGGAAAGAGGGGGGCCAAGTCGGAGATATCTCATCCATACACGGCATTTTCCCGGTAAGGTAAGAGAGCCGCAACACTATCATGCATGCCAGTCCTGCGTTCTGTGTCTGCTGTCATGTCACGGTGGCCGGAGTGCGCGGCTTCATGTGAAATATGCCCGAGTTCAAACAGGGTAGTGACCTATTTTCCAGAGTCTCTCTCCAGCGTCGCGTCCAGACCCAGTAGCCCGTACTCCCAACACTGTCACACTCAAGGCCGGTCACGTCCGACGTGGCTCCACCGGCGTGTGTGCCATTTACGCAGACAGCCATCTAAGGTTAGCACGCCTATTTCCATACGGGAGCGACTGTTGGCGCGTTTCTGCATCCTCGCCCTCCTCAACCCTGTGAGGCATGTTTTTTTGTTTTTTTTAATAGCAGAATCACAAATCCTGCTCTGCACAGGGGCGTTCATCTCAGCACAGCCAGCTGTTGTGCAAGACGCAGGCTCGCTCTGATTCGTCTGATGTTCTGTCACAACATCTGATAAAGAGTTCAACGTCTGCGGGCTGCTGTGTCCCTCGCTACTAAACCAGTGATGTAGGCGATTGGTAAACAGAGAGGTGACTAATGTCAGTGTGACCATTTGAGGTGAACACCCCCCAAAGAACATGCTTGTTTTCAGTTTTATATGATGTTATGAAATGATCCTTAATTGTCACAACAGATCTGCATGACCGAAGCCCATGAATTCCTTTAATCACCTCTTGTCAGAATGGTTCCCATACTAAGTAATGATTGGAACTGGTGCCATCTTTGTCTTGCCATTTCATCAATTTTGTTTTGACCAACTCTAAGTGAGTTGAGGCCAAGTATGTAGTGCAGGGGGCAAGGATGAGCACAGGCATAGAGGCTTGAATAAAGAGCTATTTTCCTCCAATTAAGCAATTCCACTGTCCCTAAGCCTAATTGTGTGCACACTGGGACTCAGTTTGGGATGGACCTTCTCCCCATTGGCTGCCTCCCATGGGCCCATTGTTCCAGAAGATGCCAGGGGAAAGAGCAGGGCCTTGCCAAGGCAGACCTAACAAGCCCCTGTGCTGGAGTGGAATAAGGCCGGATCATTAAAAAGCATTAGTCCGCAATGCACATCGAGGCACACTCAAGGGGCTGCAGTTGTATTTTGGATCAGAGGAGGATATCTGTGTATTTCCAAGGTGGCTGTGAGTGGTGCTGTTTGAACAATATACTGTAACTTGGGTGCACGAGAGGAACTGTCACACATATGAGACATGGAGGAGGTCTGGCTGTGCTCCCACTGGACCTCTCTCAAAGTGGGGAAGGGGAGTAGTGAAAGAGGCCACGCAGGCTTTGTGCAGAGGGAGGACTTTGACTCCTTCGTCTCCCTCCCTATTCCAGGCCCCTGCTATTTAATCCATAACCCCTCTCTGAACTGTGAGCGCAGGTGCTTCCAACATCCACAGCCTGCATTGTTTATTCAATCAGCTGATGATCGGTTCAACCTCAGGTCAACCATAACATCCATCTGACAGGAAGTCCAGGGCCAGACGGAGGGGCGTCCATCACCATCAGCACACTGGCATATAGGTGAAGCCTCTCTTACGAAGCACTTCACTGCAGGATAGAGGTTCTCGGCTCCACCATAAAGCCAGATGTCTGCTGGAGTCCAGCTGTGCATCCCTGTGGTGGCATTCCACACTCACAGGATGTGTGTGATTGTATACGCAGCCTTTTTTAGCTGTACATTTTCTTGCCCTGACTGCATGCTTGGCCAGATGTATATGTGTGGACAGCTGCAGGGAGCAACAGCTTGCACACAGTTTTGACACCACCTTGCTTCACCTGCTGCATTAGGATCCCAAAAGACGGGATAAAGCTTTGGAGATTTCCCATCATGGCTACGCCTGAAATCAAATCACATACTTAGATGTCACCTCCAGTCCCCAAATGTTCCTGTGACTTCAGATTTTGCCCCACTCTCAACCACAACTGTGTGACATCATACCCACAAGGCCCCAAACTGTGTGAGGGAAAGGCTGCTTTATGGTGGAAAAGGTGGACCCTAATGGCTTATTCCTGCGTCAGAGAGCAACCGCTAGGCATGTGGTGGAGGGATGGTGGGAACCCACAGTGCACTTGTACTTAATGCCTTGAACCAGGATAATAAAAGTGTACCGCATCTGATATAAAAAGGGACAAAATCAGCTGTTTTTTTGCATTGTGAGTATAGTGCAAAACAGACGCTCCAGAGTCTTAGATAACAGGAGTAAGTTGTGTTTTGTTGACATGTTGTGGGATGGCTAAAATATGCCTCTGCCACTCGAGGAAAAAAAACTTTTAAAGAGCACTAGAACTGCTCCTATTAGTGGCTGTAATCTAAGTGGCACAAACTCCTGTGGGAGAGCCAGCGTAAGTGTTTGAATTGATATCACAGTGGGGTTCCATAGCTGCTGAGGATAACAGTCTAGTTGAAAGGCAACTGAACAGCAGGGGATGGAGGATTACAGTTGTCAGTGAATGAGGCAGCATGCAGGGAAGACAAGGCACCTGATACACACTTAGATTTATCTCCACAGGGATAACAGCCACTTTATTATAGATTCCCATGGTTGATAAGTCCAACGTTGGTTTCATTATCAGAGAAGAATCTTGTAATCAAATTTCATATCAGAAATGGTTTGCATTTATGCATTAGGCTGTTCAAAATGAACATATGATGAACAATTAGGTCACGTTCAAGCAGGCAAAAGAAGGCAATTTGGAAGACCCAAAAAAACTGCAGTGTCTACTTGAGGCCGGCTGAAAAGCTGGGGAATCCCAATTTGATCCCATTTTAGATGTTCCCATGCGTATTTTTACAGCAGAAATAAACATGTTTACAGCCCTGTTCAAATAATGGTTTTGGTCTCAGTAGATCCTTTCTTCATAAGTAAAAAACTTTATTTGGGTTGTTTGTTTTTGTATCTGTTTTGGTCTCATCGAGGTTAAGACTTATGCAGTCTGAGTTGACTGACAGGTGGGTGTGTTGTAGCTTTTTGCTAGAAGGCTGAAGGCCCGCCTCAGCTCTACCTCTCTACCTTTTAGATATATCGCAAGTTAGGTTGAGATAACATGTCAAATATGGCGACTGCAATAGGTCGGCTTCAAAACGCCTCTTTAGAATCCAATGGGCTGTGACTACGTCCATACAGTCTGTGGTATGTTGAAAAGAGATGCACATCCCAGCTCTTGACCTTTGATTGGATTTTTAAATGTCAGAGAAGATGCACAATGAAGCCATGTGTCCCTTCAGTCAAATGAGGTGGAGAGTGTTGGGTAATGTGGTATCCATGGCCAGATACAAATAGAGTCTTTTAAATTATATTATATGTGAATATCTGGCCCGTAAACACTTTTTCGCTTTTGTTTAACTTTTTGTGTTGATTGTTGTGATGATTTATCATTTCATTATCAATTCTTCTGCTTGCCAAACAGATTTTTTTTAGCAAATTTTTGCAGCTGATTTTGCAGATGAAACTTTTCGAACCACACGGTCAAAAACACCACTTTGAAACATTAAATCTCAGTAGAAATGGAGCTGCATCAATATCTCTACTTGTTAAAGATTCTCTCTGCTCTTACATGCTGACAGTCCAGCTGTGTGCTTTATTTTCCATGAAGAATCTTAGCACCAATCATTGCCATGTGTGTAGCAGTGGAGGTGACACATTCATACTCTGGAGTGTTGCCATGTGATGTGACCGTGCTGAGTGACGGCCTGACTCCTGGATCTGTGTGTTAAGAATGGTGGAAGCGGATACAGATCTTGACTCACATGGGTTTGCAAACTGAAGGGGACCAGTGCATACCGTCCTGCTCCCTGGCTGGCTGGGCTCACGGGCCGTGCATTTTTCTGCAGTTAAACTGTAACCACTAATCGCCTCCCGGCCTCACTGTTTCCTCTTGGAGCAGACCATGCCTGTGTCCCAAGTGTGAGTTAAAATGCCCCCTAAGAGAATATATGGTCTATCCTTGTTTAAATCACCTGTGAGGGACTCCCTAAATGAGCGCAGGACTCTTGCTCTTCCTGCGAGTATCTGCCTTGGTGAAGTTTTAGGGGTCAGTTCCGCTGCTGCAAGTCTGCAGGCCTGCATTTCCAAAATAAACACAGACAACTCTGTGCCTCGCTCCAGCTACCCCACCCTACGTCTTCTCGTTCTCTTTAATGCTGCTTCTGCGCTCTCTGCTCAGCGTTTCTATCGTGAGAGAATTTCAGCTCGCCTAGCCGTGCAGACAATACGCAGACCATGTCTGGGGCAGGGCGCACTTGATGAGGAAAGAGTCAAGAAAGAATACAGGAGTGAAGCCAAGATTTGAAGAAATAACAGCAACGTAAAGGCGCTGTGAGAAAAGGGAATAAAAGAAAGCCTGTTTTTGGTCCATTGTGGGTTCATATCTGCCAACAAACTTCAATGTCTGACTTATAAATAATACACAATTTGGATGTTAGTGGCTCTTTTACATGTCCAGGGTCTCATTTCAAGGAGCTGTGAGTTGTACAGTAATATGCTCCCAGCAATGCAGTTTGAGTGAAGACACAGCTGGTTTGTATTATTATTTACTTGCTTGGCCAACACCCTGAATTCTCCAACATACCCTCAATAGCTCTACACCAATTCAGTTGTATTGAGGTATGTTTGTTTGTGTTTGAAGAGAAAAGAAAGGGAGGAGTTGGACAAGAGGGGCTGAGGATGAGGAATAACATGCTGAGGAAGGAGAACAAGAGGAAAGGGATCGATGGTGAGGTTCTTTTTTAAAGCAGGGGTTGAGGGAGAGACGGGTGAGGCATTTCTGAAACTCACATAAGGCTCTCATGTCTGGGCCTGGGCCTGGCTCCCTGTCTGGGCATATCCAGTCCTGTCAGCGAGCTTCCAGACTTTGCCCCCTTCATATCCCCCCCTCCTCCCTCCATCCCTGACTCTCTGGGACTCCATCTCCTCTTTGCCTTTAACTCCGCTCCTGTTCCTTTTGTGCCCTCCCTCCCTCACGTCTTTCGTCTCCCACTTTCCACGAGCCCCCGG